GGGGGGGGGGGGGGGAAGGGGGATAGGCCTACACTTATAATAGTAATACTATTCTAGGCCTCTATATATACATACACACATATAATTAAATATGTATATATATTATATGTATATATATAGTTAATAGTATACATATAACAGTATATTAAAACTAATAGTTAACTATTAATTGTAATTAATTAGGCTTTTTTAACCTAATATCCCTCAATAAAGCATCAAATCATATTAAAAATATGTATTTGTTTTATTAATTATTTTATTTTTATCTAAATAAGTTATTAGGGGGTAATAGGTTGGATTTCCAGAGTAAATCAGGTTATTTACCATAGCAACGAATATTAACGATAATAGGTAATTTTGGGACACACGTGACTGAAATTTCCCAGGAAATTTCTGACCAAACTGATGGTCCTAAATTAACAGGTCTTGGATATGTTGTAGTTAATGCCATTATTTATAAAGTCCTTGAAATTCAATGAAAGGTTCATTTCCACACAAAAATATGAATGAGTAAAAATTCCGTTATTTTACCTTCAATTTTCAAAGTGAAGCCCCAAAATTTTTTGGGGGACTCAAGTGTCTAATCATAACACAACATGTCTACTCTAAGTTGTAGGCGGAAATAGAATTAGCATGCTGGGCTATATATAGTTAAAAAGTCGTAAACAACGTGACTCTCGGTAAATTAAAAAGTGGAGGTCGCCATTTTGACAACGAAATCACGATACCCGGTTTTCGGCACTTCCCGGATCTTACCGAAATACCTAGATACAGTATTGTACAATAATTATGAGACGATATTGTACAAATTTAGGAGTTCGAGGGTAAACAGTAAACAGGTATAGAAAATCTAGAGACAATAATTGAAAATGGTAAATTAAGGTGCATAGCAGCCAGGAGGTCTCCGCACGTATGAAGATCTCATACTCATAGTATTCTAAACATAATATCATTAATATTATTGAAGTTTTTATCAAGCAAGTTTAAGTACTGACGGAGGGCCGGATGAACTGGCCTCGCGGGCCGTGGTTGAGTGATCCCTGTAATATTTAATAGGCAAACGGGCAGGTTATTTATTTATTTATGAGCCTAGGCCTACTTTTTATAATTAACAAGGCGAAGGAGGGGAATGTTAGAAAGTTAAAACTAAGAATAAGAAAAATCAGCTGCAGCTTTCCCTAGAAAGTAGAATTAAATACTTCCACCAACGTTTTATTTTTAGTCCAAGTAGCTTTTGACGATTTGGCTGAACCGAAGTTTTACTGTATATTGCATCTTTTAAGTCTTTCACTGTATCTCCTCCAGATAAGCCTGTAATTTTATGTTCGTCTTTTAAGAATTTGACAATCAAATCTCCCACTTCGTCCGCCATATTGTTTGTTTGGCTACCACTATACCAGCTACAAGTTGACTTGAATTGGCTCATTAATATTGCAGGTTTTTTTTTTTTTTTTTTTTTTTTTATTTTTTTAATTTTTTTTTTTATTTTTTTTTTTTTTATTTTTTTTTTTTTTTATTTTTTTTTTTTTTTTTTTTTTAATTTTTTTTTTTTTTTTTTTTTTTTTTTTTTTTACATTTTTAAATTATTTTTTTAAATTTATATTGCAAAATATCTCTATAGATAAGAACTTTTTATCTTAAAAAAAATCTGCATATGAGAAATATTACAATCCAAAGTATCATGAATCATAGCGTAAATATACAAGACAGTGGGCGTAGCCAGGGGGCTGGAAAAAGAGGGGGGGGGGCTTACCTAAGGCGAGGTTTCTTTAAATGTATTTATTTATTTTCCAAAATACATTAAAATTGATGTTAAAATAATTTTAAGTCGCTGGTAAAATGGCCCTCAATAATCTCATCACAAAACCTTATTTTGGGCTATAGCCTTTTATTTTATATATATATATATATATATA